TTTCATTCAATCATCATTATCCTCTACATTCAATACAAGGTACAAAATTAATATATTAAATTACATTTCATATTTACAATTTTTTTAAACTTATTTAACATTACTTATGCACAACAGGTTCGATCGCAGACGCCGGTGGTGGATGAAGAGATAAAGAAACTGGTAAGTTAAATGTGTCATGCGCTTGTAAAATAAGTTTTTTAGCATTCCGGAAAGTACTTTCCGTAATAGTAAAATTATTGTTCATATAATTCCGGAAAGTACTTTCCGGAATAGTAAAATTATTGTTCATATAATTCCGGAAAGAACTTTCCGTAATAGTAACTTTAATATTATGGAAAGTACTTTCCGGAATTATGTAACAAAACATTTCCGGAAAATACTTTCCGGAATAAGAATTTAATATTATGGAAAGTATTTTCCGGAACATTTTTATATAATTCCGGAAAGAACTTTCCGTAACAGTAAGAAGAAGAAGAAGAGGAGTGTCAGAAAGAGAAAGAAGAGTGGTGTGCGAGGTGCAGGAAAAAAAAAGAAGAAGAGGAGTGCCTGAAAGAAAAAGAAGAGGGGTGCACAATGTCAACAGGTGGTCTTGTAAGAGAAAGACTCTTACTTGTTCTATGGAAAGAAAGATTAGTACAAAAATAACTTTTAAAATCGGGGTTTTAAAATCAGTCATAAGGTAGCAATTTTAAAAGTGACGTGGTGGCTTGTACTGCAAGCAGAACGGGCCGCATTGCAAGCAGCACGGGCCGTTCTGCTTGCAGTACGGCCCGTTCTGCTTGCGGGGAAGGGGGGTGTGGGGTGAGGGGAAGGGGTGCGAGGAAGGAGGGTGTAAATTTAGGAATTATTTTTTTAAGGGTAATTTAGACATTTTATATATATTTTTTTAAAAAGGGGGTGTGTTTATAGGAGAGTGGAGGTGTGTTTATCATGAGCCAACCTAGAAAGATCATGATATATACACCTTCTTTTTTATAAATACACTTCTTTTAAAAAAAAAATAATTAAATTCTTAAAATATCTTTAATTTTTATTTTTTTTTATTTTTTTAATTTTAGATTCCTAACATTTAATTTAACACTTTTTTTAAATATCTCTTTCCTTTATTTTCATATGCACCTCCTTAATTTAATAGGTAATTTTGATTTTTTTAGTTTTACATTATTATTTTTTCCTTCCTCTTTCAGTTTTCTCACTGATCTCACTATCTGTATAGTACTCTAGAATAGTGAAAATATTTTTTTTCATAACACTAAACTTAATGTTAAAGTTATTGAAGGGGTGAAAGAAAAGAAAGTGTTGTAAGAAAAAATGTGTGCCTAGTTTCATAGAAACTGTCAAGAAAGCTACACGTACCTACAATATTATCGCCATCAGTTTATGATTTTGATGCATGTGAAAAAGTGAAAAAGTGAGAAAATAAGAGAGTAATATAAAAATTCAAGTAACTAAAACTACCCACTGAAATAGGTGAAGAATTAAAAGAAGACAAGAAGGTACATGTGAAAACTAGAAAAGAAAAAGAAGTAAATATGTGAAAAGAAAAAATAATAAATTAAAAATTAGAGATGTAAATTAAAATTTTAAAAAATAAAAAAGTTATTAATATTTTAAGATTTTTTAAAAAATAAAAAAATAAAAAAAGTGTACTTATAAAAAAAAAGTATATATATCATTAGCCACCTAAAAAATGGTTTGTCCGCATCTTATTAGTCTATATTTAGTTATGATTGGGCCTTCCTTTGAAACAAAAATTATTTTCCCCTTCTGAGAATTGATGTTCACGATATTCTTACTTTTATCTATAAAAGATGAAAACTTTCGTTTTTCTCTATTTAAAAAAAACTAAAACAAAATTAAAAATAAATAAATTATGAGTTATTGTTTAAAAGAACTAGAAATTGAATGTCATTAGAATAGAAAAATAAATAATATATATATATATATATTTTACAGATAATTTTATAAAAATAAATTAGTCTAAAATTTGTATATACTAAAAAGGAATATATCATTTATTAATAGTATAGTTTCAATGGTAGTTTATTCTCTTTACATTAACAAATTTTTTCTATAGATATGTTTTTCGTAGCTTTAACTTTTGATTAAAATATTAATTATTAATTTATTATGGCTTAATGTGTGTTAAACGGTCTGTATTTATAGCCTAAAAATATAAGAACGTAAAAATAAAAATAAGGAGGTTGCTACTGTACTCCTGATAAATGAGGAGTTTTGGTAGTGTATCTGATGTGTATCGATCTGATGTGTATGTACACATCATTTAAATGTCATGTCAAATGCCATGTCAGCCTTTTAAATAAGAATTATTTTGTATTTAAATTTTTATATTATTTATTTTTAATTTTTTATTAATATTTTTATAATTATACGATCTCCTCTCCCCTCCGTCTCTCACCTCTCCCTCGCCTCTCCGTCCATCTCCCACCTCTCTCTCTCTGCCACGCTCCTCCTCCATGACTCGCCGGCAATCGCAGTCTCCACCTTCGCCGTCTCGCTCGCTGGCCGCAAAGAGGGAAGAAACAGAAAGATTCCGGAAAAAAAAATGACGTGGATGTAAATTTTAAATAATTAAAAAATTATAAATGACTTGGATTTACACGTAGGTGACACATTATCAACCGTACCGGTACCCTTCTTTTATAAGGGGTACTGTAGAAATTCTCTAAAAATAATCTATGGTAGCTTTTACCTTAACGTGGCAATTACACGTACATTTCAACAGACATCATATAAAACTAAACGTATCAGATTGAACTTCCCATTTAGTTTAACACCACAACAATTAAACACTATTCCTATTCTGGAATATTTTTGGTTACTATTAGATTTTCTCTCCTTAAACCAATGTCTTTAAAAAATATATTAATAACGTAATCTTTAATATGTTATTTACAGTAAAAAAAAATGATTTTCATTAATACTTCCTTTTTTATCTAAAAAATTAATGTAATTTTCATTCAATATTATCAACACATCTTTCCATAAAATGACAAAGGTGACGATGTAAAGTGACACGTTACAATGAATTGATAAACTGTACCCTTTTGTGTAGAATTGCATACTATATATGTATATGGAGTGGATTCTGACCTTACTTGCTTAACTTTTTTTAAAATGGTGAGGAACCTTCCTTTTGCATCGTTTTTCCATCAATGGACTACAAATCATGGTTGACATGTTCTTCAATCAACTCAACCTGCTTATTCCATAATAATTAATATTGTAACTTACCAATGTCAAATGCATAGCTTTTGAAAAATGGGATAAAATTTAAGAATAATTTTTTAAGTGTACTGCACAATCCAGTGAAGCACTACTTGAGTGCACTGTTATGAGATAATAAAGTTTTAATTATAATCACGATTCTAATATAAATACAGTGGCAGCTAATTTCGGATATTAAAATAAATATGTATTAATTAAACATCAACATTCAACAATGACGTATCCCAATTCCCATGAGAGGTAATTAGACGTGTGAAATGGGACAAGCTTCGTTTTAGGGCCCACACCTTTATAAAATTTATCCTGACGTAATGTACACATATTCCTCTCTGCCAATTATAACTTAAAATTGATACCCCACATATATTAAATTAAATTTAGATTCTGGATTATATTTTCATTGGTTTGCAAGATTTTTCTAACTTATACAACATGCAATGTTTCTAAAAATTTAAGAAATTATCCTATTTCCTATTTAGAAAAGACAAGGGCATGCTTATCCTAATGATTTCGATTCTCTCAACCAATATGCTTTTCAGAATAATGTTCCATTTCAACGGTACTATAATTTTCTAATAACGTGTATAGCTAAGATGTTGAACAGTAACTGTGCCAATAAATGAGGCACTATCTTGTGTTGTTATTCTTCGCACTACCAACTCATACAAATCCATTTCACAAAATAATATGATTTAACATGGATGACTTTGGAGCAAGAGAAAGTTTCCATAAAAAATGACATTTCAATTTCAACAAAGGCCAATGGAAGAAAAGTTGATTAGAGAAATGAAATAAAGTATGAACCTGGAATCTAATTTCACTGATTTGACCCAGAAAAAAATAAAAGAAAAAAAAATTCCATCGATGAATAGGTGGACATAACACCGACCCTTAGTTTTCTGACCTTTCTCTCTCTTTCTTTTTAATATCCAACTTATACACCTTCCATTTCATTTCATGATTCAACATTTCAAGTACCAGTTTAAAATTTGTTTTTCTTAACTGTTTAAACAGATTAATCTCCAAGTTTGTGCTGGTCCAATCTTGAACAATTCAATAGCTCAAAATTACCTACAATTGGCCTAAACAAAAGAATCATGTCAGTTTTGGAAAAACCACTTTTGCAGAAATAAATGACTAAAGCTGTCGTTGAACAAAAATGACTGAGTTGTCATAACATTCTGGTCAAAAGAGATAAAAACCGAAATTATTAAAAGATAAAAAATAGAATAAATAATTCATTTATTAATAATATAATTCTAACAAAACCGATAAATTCTTATCAATATCATAATTAAAAATATTATAAAAAAAAAAAGTTATACTATCATTATATTATAACATATATGAATATTTATCATTATTTTTTATTGTAAAATTACGAGAAAAAGAACTGTGTAAAACTTTTATATTACTTTTACATAGAAGTCAAAATCATAAAATTTTTAATTTTTAATTTATTAAATTAGAAATTAATTTTGTTTGTAGATTGAAACATTTTTTTTTCTTTTGAAAAGGAGGGTCGTAGCCGTAGGTTTAATTGAAGTGAGTTGCTTTTCCTTTAGAAGCATTTTCTAAATATAAATATCATTAACAAGTGTGTAATGGAACTAATCTTTATAAGATTCTTGGTTGAGTCGAAAGCTTTTCTCTTTGAAGCTGATTCCGTTTGAACATGATGGGTATTTTGGTCTATTCATGGTCGCACTCAACATAAAGATATATATAATAAGTAAATTAATAAGCGGATAGAAACGGTTGTTTAGCGTAGAATAGAAGGTAGAGAGAGAGAGAGAGAGAGAGTAAAAAAATGTTTTTAAAAAAAGGCAAAGATTTATGTAACGCGAGAAGTTGAGGCTGTTCCCAGGTCACTCTCTTTGCAACCTCCGAGGAATTTTGGTGGCATCCTCTCAGATATTTGTCATCAGTTTCTATTTTGGTCGCAAATTGCAATCTCTTGTGTTACTTTACCGAGAGAGAGAGAGAGAGATAGAGAGACGTGAGTTTCTGTTGTGTTCCTGTTTCTGTGTGTGTGTGTCAGCAAGTGCTTCTGTTTTGTCCAATTTTCTCTCTTTCTGTTGTGGGAAAATGCTGGTTCGGAGAAGGGTGATGAGTTGGAGAAGGGTGGCCAAGGCTCTCATAGCTCTGCTAGCTCATGCCTTGCTTTTCTCCTTCACTATTCTCCTTGCTCTCAAGCTTGACGCTCTCTTTCATCATTCATGGTGGTTGGTTCCCTCCTTCTCTTTCTTCATTCACACACCTAATTCTGAAAAACTCGAAATCAATTAAAGGGTCACAACAAAATTCTACCTTTCTGTGATTTCTCTTTTTGAATGACCATATTGAGCGACCTGACTCTGTGCTAATTTGTTCCCCCCACCTGATTTTCAATGCGCGAACATGTTTTTTTTTTTTTTTTTTTTTTTTTTTTTTTTTTGGAAAAA